ACACACTGCTAGCCTTTTTTGTTGGTTTTAGCGTGATTTAGCACATGGTTAGCATCTTCTAGCATATGGCTAAGGTGTCCTCGGCTAGTTTCTAGGCTTTGCTAGTGCTAGAGTGAAGGATTGTGGGAGTTTTGTCAGTTGGAGTTTGAATATTCTGGGCTCTGATCTGAGCGGTATGATGAAGATGAGGATGAGGATCAGTGAAGCTCTTTAACATTTCTTACGTGGTAATGAATGAAGAGCGTGTGTTTCGTGTCACTGCTGTATTAAACGTGAGTAAAGGTCAGAGGTCAGTGTGTTTGTGTTCAGTCTCTCAGATGTGATCTGGTCTGGATGAGGACTTCCCATCATCCTCCACAGAGCACAGCTTCAGCGATCAGCGCTGCTGGATATTTACTCTCTGAGAGTAAATATCAGAGAGAAGAACGCTTTGTGTTTTGTCTACAATCTGAGGATCAAACATCTGAACAAGAACAGAAGAACCTGAAATCACCTGAGCAACAGTCCTCAGAGAAAACACATGATAAACTAAATAATGTCTGAATGAGAAAGATTTGTGCAAGGGTTTATTTTAAGTTTTGATGTAGGCTTTAAAAATACCACTAGCTCAGTATAAAAGCAGTAGAAATCAATGGAATTAATTTACTGATCAAACTGATCGCTGACAGCTGTTCATCATCCTCCACTGCAGCAGATCGAAGATGTAACTGTTTTTTCAGTAAAATCAATGTAATATATTTTTGTTCAATAATATTTTTTCTTTTGTATTTTGAGAAAATTTCATTTTTTCCCCAGAGTATTTCATAGTACTAATTAATATTTATGCAATAGTTATGATCAATTTTCCCCATTGAAAATAATAATTATTTTTTTATATATATTTTCATCTCATCTAAACCATCTCTGTTCACACATTTCACTTTTTCTTGTTTCTAAAGCAGAACCAGTTCATTTCTTACAAAAGAACTAGATTAAAAAGATGGTCAAGACAAACGTTATGTTGCTTGAGAAAGCAGTTTAAAAAGCTTGAAGTTTGAAGTAGTTTTACATTTAAATTGCTTTTAAAAGCTTGAAGTTTGAACTCCTGAAATGTAACTTTTTTATTTTCAGTGTATGAAAATAACATTTTCATGTATGTTCATGTAACATTTTTTTGTTCAATAATATTTTTTCTTTTTTCTTTTGTATTTTGAGAGAATTTCATGGTATTAATTAATAATTATGCATTAATTATTTTTCGTAAAGTTTTTTCCCATTGAAAATAATATATTTTTCCCTAATATTTTTTATTACTTTTTAATTAAGGCAATATTTCATGTTAAAATAGAGACAATGCCTTTAAAATCCAATTTTCGAAGGCAGATTAGTGTCATCTGGTGGGAGTAAAAAAAAAAAAACATCTGCAATTTCATGGTTTAGCCACTAGATTCCTATAGAGTTCTATATAAAAGGCATAAATATTCTCTAGTTGTTTTTAGACATAAATACTTATTTTTATGAAGTTGTGGGTTTGGATATATATTTAGACATTCTCAAAGACAACTTTTTGTAAAGGTTTAGATTTTTTATTTTATTTATTTTTAAATATTGGTATGAAATGTCAGTTTTTGCATTAATTTTACAAAAGTCAAACCTAAACACAGAGAAAGACATTTTGTTACACATAACATCAAAATTCAACAAAAATGTAACAAAAATGAACATGCTTTATCAGAGGTTAATCTAATCAATATGATTTCAACCTCTTATTTGGCTCAATTTTGCCATATGTGACCCTGGCCCACAAAACCAGTCATAAGGGTAATTTTTTATTATTATTGTTATTTATACATTATCTGAAAGCTGAATAAATATTATATTAAACAATTATTCATTATTCAGCTTTCCATTGATGTATGGTTTGTTAGGATAGGACAATATTTGGCCGAGATACAACTATTTGAGAATCTGGAATCTGAGGGTGCAAAAAAATCACCTCAATAAGTTCTTAGCAATGCATATTACTAATCAAAAATTAAGTTTTTATGTATTTACTGTAGGCAATTTACAAAATATCTTCATGGAACATAATCTTTACTTAATATCCTAATGATTTTTGGCATAAAAGAAAAATTTATAATTTTGACCCAGACAATGTATTGTTGGCTATTGCTCACCCATTTTGCTTACACCCGTGCTACTTATGACTGGTTTTGTGCTCCAGGGTCACATATTGTTACAGCCACACCAGTTAATTTGTGTGTATAATAGTATAATAGTCTGCATGTAAGTGAGTGTGTGTCTGTTCTTGATATTTTAGAGTGTCACCCCTTCATTCCTGTGCACTTTTTTCTGCATTGTGGCTGATTTGTAGATTGTACACACAAAAATGTTCTGTATTTTCATATATTTTGTCCATTTCTCATTCATGTTCTATGCCGGTCCACAAGCATGACTATTTTTTTAATGACTACTTAGCCTTGTCAAATCATGCCCTCAATTTTTTTTTTCATTCATAATGTAAAATTGTTCGGTCAAAAGTGACCAAAGAACACTTATCTTCTTGTCTATCATTTTGTTGAAAATTTCTTGCTTTTAAATCTGCTTGATAAATTTAACTTGACCTGACCTGACTAAAAGCCAACAGCTATTTATGTACAGCTTTACTAAAATAATATAACATATACACAATTATTTATTTTTAAAAACTTTTCGCTATTCTAACAATATGAAAAGTCTTTAAGACCAGAAATAATACAATTGAAACCATAATACCTTGGGTTTGGTTGAAGCGTTCCATTACCGTTCTAACATTGACTGGGAATGTTGTAGCATGGCCCTGAAGAGTGTTAGTCTCTTGCACATCATAATCTTTCCCAAGATTGTCTTCCATCCATTTGAACTGGCTCTTAAAGCGGTTGGTTTTGCTGTCAAAATATCCCATTAACTGATCATCAATGAGATTCAGTGCCACAAACTCTGGAAACTCACTCAACCCAGTTGTTCCAGTGTAATAGGCTTTCCAGCTGTGGATTGCTGAAATAGAACAATCATGTTTTGATCTTATTATGGTGAGCAAAATACAATAAAAGTCATATTTTAACTAATGAAAACAGCATTGTATTGACAACAAATCATTAATATTAATATTCAACACGAAATATTAATATTCAACACCAGTAGGCTAATACAATGCTATACATAATACACTGATAAACCTGTCTCGTTTCAAAGCTAATGCTAAGGCTAATTAGCAGCCTTATAAAACAGCCTTATAAAACAGTCAGTCAGGACTGATAGCATAAATATTCTAATTAGAAATATAATAATTAAATCCACTGTAAAAACAAAAAATCAAATAAAAAACTTAAGTTCAGTGGCTACTTAGTTATACAAGTCATTTAAACTTAAATTTCATGAAACCAACTTAAAAATCAAGTTGAATTTCAAATAACATAAAATACATAAAATACATGAAAATAAAAAAGTAAGTTGCCATGACTTACTGATCATATTTTTTATACAGTATAATGTATTAAAAGTTTAGACCTAAAGAAATTATGAAATATAATAAAATATATAAAATAATTAATTACAGTTAGGACAATCAATCCATGCATTTATTTGTTTGGTAAGTAACCAGTAGGATAATGTATAGTCACATCAAGATTGTTGTTTGTTTGTTTGTTTCTGTTCTGAACCATCTTAATTTAATTAAAGATAGAAAGAAAAGCCTTTGTTTGCACTGCCATCTAGTGGATAATATTGCAATTGAACAACATTATGCCTGATCATCTGTGGGCATGACATTGTCTGTACATCCGACAATAGGTAATATTAATAATACACGCACCGTACAGAAAACAAATATTTACCAACTAAGCGAACTAAGTCAAAAAACGTAGCCTACATGCATGTTATTGTGAAGGTAGAGATAGTCCACATTATTTTTTCTTAAAAACGCATAATAGCCATTTCCCCCAAGATGTGGCCTATATTGCACCAAATACAAAGACCTTGTTACATTAAATGTTGTGTTAAATGTTAACTTAAACATTATTGTTTTTAATATTAAATGTTAAATATCGGCTGCTTAAAATGCATAAAACAATGCTTTCTTGGAGCAACCTTGGGGGAACGACCACTGGCAATTTTTTTCCAAAATCCAACAAAATGAACAAGTGAGCTCGACATTAGGGTTTACCCTTTCGTAATTAATATAGGATATGCTAATTCATCGCCATATTACTGATTTGTGCAATTATTTTATGTATGTGTTAAATAATTTCTAACATCTACATTTAAAAGACATAATCAAACTTACCTCCACTAGCAATATGAAGGCAGACGACCAGTAGTATTACAAACTGCATATTTCTGTTTTTGATAGATTCAGTGCACCAGCTTCTTCTCTCTTCACAATACTCAAGCACAACTGTCTTTTTTCCAACCAGAAAGAGAAATATGAACCTCTAACTCCGCCTATAATGCAATAGGCAAGCAAATACTGGCCAGTAGAAATCCGGAGCTGATACTACATCAGAAATCACTAGGGTGATTATCCAAACCCAGGATGACTTCGAAAGTGAAAGAACAGAGATCACTAAAAATATGCGGTTTTGGAAATGTATTTTCATTCTATTCGGCATTTCTGAGCTACTGATTCTGGATAACCTCTTCATGCTTAATCCATGCAGTATGTGTTTGAATTAATGTTGTGTCGTTTACTATTTCTCAAATATGTAAACCTCTATTAAACTTCCTTTTACTTTCTGTGTGCATACACAAATGTACACATACACACATAAATAGATGGATGGATGGATATATGGATAAAGTTTTGTGGTCCTCAGAATTAAAGATTACTTTTCATTTACCTTCATCTTCTATTACCAGCCTTAAAGCTACCAAACCACAATACATAATTTAACAAAACAAAAAAACAAACACATATTTAATGGTTGTCATTGTCACGTAAAATAATGCTCTAAATGCATTAGCAGCTCATACATATAAATGTGTTACATATATGCTGCTTCTTGAAAATCACAAGCTAGAATAGAGTTAAATGAAAGAGCAACAGTAAATGGCAGAGAGCAGATTTTTTAGCAAACACTTAGACAGAGAACATAGAATGTATGTTAAAAGTGCATTTAGATTTCTCCTTCTTAAAACAGATTAATACCTACAAAAATTGAATAGTACATTTGACAAATATGCATAAAATGATGTACACTTACATGAGCTAAAGAGACAAGATGAGGTTTGAGGTGTTATGTTGGGTATCATGTGTCTTCATACCTTCTTGTTTCCAGTTGTTCAAACAACAGGCATTATTACTAATATTAAGTAGCTAATATTAATAGAGAAATAACACAGACCTAACTGATGTTTAAGCTCGTATCAGAGACATAAGAGGAGCTAGAAAGCTTTGGTTTAGATTTGGATTCAATATGCAGGGCTTTGATATGTTTTTTTATTATAATTTTTATATTTTATATGATATGGAGCATAAAACTGAGGACAATAACTTTGTCCTCAGTTTTGAAGAACTACATTGCCAAGTTACTGCACCAAATTAGCCTTTGTCTATTTACAGCTTTGGTTTACAGTTACAATTTAAGTTCATTATGGAAGAAAAAATGTGGTTTAAAATATTTAAATACAAATATATTTAAGGCTACAAAATATTTAAGTTAATTAAGCATTGATGAACATACGGATGAAGTGCAGCATTTATGCAAAAGAAAAGTACTATAAACAGTGCTATGGAGGTACTATACTCCATTTTATACGTGACTGGGTTTTTTTCCAGTGGCACAAAGTGTTTACTAACAGACAGATCAAAACTCTCAAATGTAACACAATACGTTTTAATCAAGTACGGCTATAGCCCTCTGTTTTCACACAACTTAAAAAATAATAATGATATGCAAACATGATGCATAAAACTGTACTGATACAGGTTTGGTTATCTGCTATCATCACATTACGAGAGACAATAAGTGATTAATAAGATATTTCCCTTTGTCCTTAACTGCACTCTGTTCCGAGAAACCATGTGATATCATGACAAAATCCTCCAGTGTCATAGCCACAGTCTGGCGGGTTTGGAATACTATTGTTGACTTAGGGCGTCACCTAGTGGAGTCGCTCTGAATAACTACGAGAAAGGTTAAAATTCATGTTTTAGAGCGGAGTATGATTTTTAGTTAATTTAGAGTAAAATTCCAAGAGAGAGAGCACAAGACCTTTACATGATGTGATGTTAATAATTTGTGTTACATACATTACATATATTGTGGCACAAAGCTGGTCCTGCTGAACTACCTTATCGCAAAACAAATCGTAGGCTAGTCAATAGAGCATGCGCCTAAACACGCAGTGAAACTAAAAGTGCTGCAAGCTGCACGAAATGGTTTGGGGAAAATCCGACCGAACAGACCAAACAGCCTACTTATACACGGAGTTATCATTTTATCAAGCAGGGCAACGATGACTGAGATTTCGACCATATACAAAAAATCTATTATTGCATGCATTGTTTTTTGGTGGTAGGTTTTGCTGCATTTCGTAGCCTACTCAAAACTACTTTTTAATACGTTCAGTTATGTGTGTGACCAATGAGCATAATTCTAATAATTTCTCTTATTTTGCAGCTTCCGGTTCTGGAGTGCTGGGGGGTATTCCAAAAAGCAGGTTATGTGACATACCCGGGTATGTTTGGGGATAAGCTTTTGGTTCCAAAATCGGAGGTTACTTTCAGGGTATGTAAGTAACCATAGTAACGTGCTCTCTGAAGATAACCTGCTCCGGAGCAGCTTCTGTTCCAGGGTTAGTTCACTTCAGCGCACGTGTGATCTACTAACGAGCCTTCAGTGGGCGTGACAGATAGCGCACAGCATTATATGAAAGTGAAAGTGAGGTGACATGACATGTGGCCAAGTATGGTGACCATAGATTGTATTTTATTTTATTTTATTTTTTTATTGCAATGCTAAGAACATACACAATCAATGCCAGGGGTAAATACAATTGAGAGTACAATTGCAGGTTACAAAATCAGGAAAATATCGTACAAATGACACAATGAGACAGTTTTAAGGGCTTTGGAGTTGCTGGATGTAAGGAGAGAGTCCAGATAGGATTTAAGTTCCTTATGAAAAATAAAAAAGTAAGGCTTAGCACCCTGAAATTTACATTTATGTAAGAAAAATTTCGCTAGAAAAATAAACAAATTTATAAAAAAATATTGGTCCTTTGCATCTTTATCAAAATTGTGCTGACCAAATAAAACATCTCTGTATAACAAAGAAAATCTTTGTGATGAAAATGTGCGTACAAAAATACAGAAATCCATCCAGAACATACTTGTATATGAACATTCCCAGAAGAGATGAGAAATAGATTCGTCTTCAGCACCACAAAAGTAACATAAAGAGTCAATATCAGGAAACATTCTTTTTAAGTAAAGCT